CATGTGGCACGTAAAGATGCTGATAACCTGGAGCGTTTGATGGTGACAGGGAAGGTGGAGTGAAAAAGACCTAGGCAGGTGTCCCAAAAGATGGTCGGAACAGATGTCCAAACAACGGGAGCTAGCGCCGCACTAAACCATGCGACTGAGTGGAACCGATGGAGGCAAATGGTTGGCAGGATGAAGTGGACTCACGATCCTCAGCAGTGAAGAAGCGATTAAGAAGAAGATTGTTTTTTGTCGTAGTTGTCACCTGTGAGAAATTTCTTGTTGCCCTAGTTTGGCATACAGACACAGGTTCGAGTTCTGTCAGATAGAAAGAATTTTTCTTTACTTTCGATCTTTGTATTAATAATTTGTATTAATTATAGCAATACAATAATAAACAGTTATTCAGCGTTCTTAAAATAAGTATTTTTCCGTACTGTTATGAAGTTCAATAATATGCCAATCAAATATATCAAAACTGTAAGTATATTAATAATCCGATACCTCCAACTGCGTCGATTTCACCAATAATAGAAGAGGATGATGATATACAAGTGCCAAAGAAAAACCAAATCAACTGATTTCTTCACGTCAACCTTTAAATTGTCTCTCTGTAGTACTGAAGCGACAGTTTTTCGCATGGTTTGCTTAGCGGGTGTCCCATTCAGAACTTTCACTACTTAGGAAGACATGACACGTCTGTATCTGAACGGTCGATATCACTTACAAAAATCGCCTGACTGTATCAGAGAAAGATGGTCTTGCAAGATAATAAAATAAAAGTATTTTAATACAGGACATAAAGTAAATGTGGTTAGGTGGTGAATCTTTTTCTGTAAGCTTTGAAGAGTGGACATTTAACTGTAACAGAAGATACCCAAAAGAAACTTCGAACTTTACCCTTATTGCGGATACAAGGCAATATGACCGCTGAAAAAGCAATTGAGGATCTGGGCAATTTTTTGAAATATGGATTAAATCTCAAAAACGTATTGTAGCTGCAATTACCAATGGATGCAACATGATTGACGGATGCAATATGGTTTTAGTAGCAGTAGAGCTCCTTGTGAAAGAGTTCGTCAGGGGAGTAACTGTCACCTTACGTATTTCTGCCACCAAGCAGTAATTTCAGCATTACTGTGTTTCGGTTTTGAAGGGTAAGGGTGCTGGTGAAATTACAGGCACAAGGGACATGTCAACTTATGTCTCAGGGTGACGGCCGCAGTGGCATTTAAAGCTCTGAGAACACTGCAATTGTTATGGACAGGCGTGTGGCTTACCATCAGGCGCACGACTTGTTAGTTCCGTCACTTGATATTATAAAAAAAAAATGATGCCGAAGATTTGGAGACTTCTAGATTTATGTCAATAAAAGAGCATAGTAGGCGCGGTCCAGTTCCTAGTAGTTGATGTTTTATTTTTAAAAAAACATCGATAAGTGTATATAACAACGGTTTCACAGAAAAGCAAGGCTGTGATTGAGATATACCTTGAGCAGAATTATCAAATCTTGTTCATTAAAATTGCTCGGTGATGAAAACGATGGCATTGAGTTTATAGGATAATCCGAAATCGTAAAGATTTTAAAAAATAGCCAAAAAAAGTCAGACTATTTCCAGAAGTTCGCTTTGTCCGAATTTAATGAAGAGTATCGTTTAACATTCGATTTTAAAACTCGTTGGAGCAGGTCACTAAAGCCTTGATTGAAAGTGGATACGGAGTTTAGTAAGTATAAGACACTGAAACTGACAATCGATGTCATATGCCAACAAGGTGTATCGCTTTTGATTGCAGTGGTGGGGATAAAATCCGCATCGAAAATATTACATAACTTGAACACTAATTTGAGCAAAAAAATGTACAAAGCTTTACTGAAAAGATATAACGACAGCCGTTTATGAAGTCATAAATTATCCAATTCTAATTCTGATTATTACAAAATAATATAAATAAAATAAATATTCATTCTAATAATTTCTATTTATTACAGGCACCGGAAATTGAAAATCTCTACACAGTACCGGCTCAGAATTATAATGTCTTCCCTTCAGTAGCGCAACGCTTTTGATGTTCGGTAATAACGTAAAGAAGAAGCCACCCGTAAAGACAATTACGCTGTCACACGTAGATATGCAAATGATGTCATACATTTTTTTAAAATGTGATAACTTACATATTAATGTTATCATTTATTAACACAAGCAATTAATAATCTTTTAAGATATTTTCAGTTTTCAATTATTAAATTTACCTATAATAATGCAATAGTATTCAGATGAACAATTTAATTAAAAAAAAATTTGAGAAACATGAGTTTGGCCGTGATTAAATTCTACGTTACGTAGTTAGTCAAATAATGTATCTAAAATGTTGTTCCGTAAACGTAGTATTTGGTGTTGAATTATCGTTATGTGTGTATACAACGGTTTTCGTAAAAATCGTTGAATGTATTCGAAAAGTATTTTAAACGCGCCTACACTTAGCGCTCGATTCCACAAACTTAAGCATGTTTGTTTGATGTGGCCCGCAGCGCCCACTTCCCCGCAAACACTCTCCCACTGTTGTTCTGCGTAAGAATATGTTCTTGAAATGAATGTATTGCACAACATAATGGTTTGTAAAACTGTGATACTGGTAAGCAAAGACTAATCATAACAAGTTGGAAGCAGAACCCAAACAAATTATTGAAAATATTGTGCGAATTACACAACATTCATTATTGACTGACAAAGCGAAGATGTGCGGCTGGCCTAACCGCGTGCGCCTACGTGCAATAATAATTCGAACGTATTGCACGTAGAAATTTAAACGGCTTTAGTAGCAGTAGAGCTACTTGTGAAAGAGTTCGTCCAGGGAAGAACTGTCACCTTACTTATCTCTGCCGCCAAGCGTAATGTGAGCATTACTGCATTCCTGTGTTGAAGGGTAAGGGTGCTAGTGAAATTACAGGCACAAGGGACTTGCCATCTTTGGCAGTGTCCTTCAGATCTTTAGGATATAAAGCTCTGAGTGGCACTGCTACTAATATGGACCGGTATATCATAAAAAATGAAGCTTGACCGCTTTCTAAAAACACTTAAACAAAGTCGAATAATCTTTATTGAAATATTAAAATATAAATATTGATTAAACTCTACTGCTCATTCGTAAGGCAGATTCTTCTGAGAAGGATGAACAAGAAACTTTAGGGGTTACTCTTTGTAAATAAACATATGTACACATTTGACTCATTTATAATTTACAATATCTATTACAAATATCATAGATCGAAACAATCTGTAAGAGCTTTCACTACCACGGATTTTTGTCATTGAAGTATATAAGAAGGTGTGTAATAAATAACCTTTCATATAAAGTTTTTGTTTCACTATAGTTTTAAATCTCGTGAATGACAAATTTTGAATATCAACCGAAATCTTATTATACATTGAAGCGCATATATACATTGCCCCTTAGATAACGTGACTATGTACGTAAAGACGACTGCGAAGTACAGCCCGTTTATTTATATTTCTCATATTAATGTTATGTCTGTCATTATTTTTCATGAATAAATTACTATTTTTCCTAAAATAAATTACATTTTCGCAAGTATAATGTGACACTAGTGTTAGAAAGTAAATTTCTTTAAACATATCTCTGAAAGATACTCAGGGGCTCAGATTGTAAATTGTCCTAACCGCATAAGGGAATCCTAATGAGGGTTTTTGGTGTCGGTAAGTGCTTACTCCAATTAATTGCATCAACTTTGATATACTTTCGTTGGAGTATTACTTATACTTCATTCTCTATAACTTGGTTAGTTATAGAGAATGAAGTTTATCAATTGCCCTATGGAATATCTCTTTAATGGTAAGCGGTTCTCGCCCTTGACAGGTAAAGTTTGTTTTTGCTTTTGTATTACTGATATATAATACTATATTAAATGAGCATAAATTAATATTCAAATTGAGTGACTCAGCGTGTCCGGGCGTTTAGTAATAGGTACATAGTGTTTATACGAGCGCACACTCGGTTACTGATTGCATTTGTCAAATTACTCATTCAATTATAAGCGTTGTTCTATTTTAACAGAAGAGCGAGAGTAGCGTGCATTCTTTGACAGACAATATTATACGGTAGGTACAAGCTGTTACAATGTATTAGCGTTTTATGTTATGAACTTCACTCTTAGTTTTGCCTGACTCACGTACTCAAGAATTTGCACATAAATAGAGATGTTAGTTGTAACTTTTTGACAAAATCAAAGTGATAGATGGTAATTAATTATGTGCCAATTATTTCGGTCAACTCTGTTGCACTCAGAAACGGCGAGCAATCAATAACATAATACGAAACGAGAGTACCTGCATTGACGGCCAGGAAACTCGGCTATATATAAATAAATTCAAAATCAAAGTACAATATAAACGCAAGGATACTTTTAGATTTAGTCGAGTGTTTCCTGAGTAATTAGTATGGGTGGAGCTTGCATTCCGACATTGAACAATTATACTATGGAATGTAGAGAAACAAGAAAATCATTTGTGAATTATAAAATGTATATAGATCAATCGAGACACCTACTAACTACGTTTTAGTATTATTTTGCTATGCATTTCTAAGGACAGAAATTTAATAAATATGTAGACTAAGTGAACTAAATCCAATACCAAATAATAAGCATTCGAAGTAGTACGAAAAGTAAAATGTTCATATATACCAAGTGAAGTAACACACTAAATAACGAGTTCGTTACAATAGCTCCATATAAGCGTGTTAGACGTAATAATTTCCAATAATTTATGGAAAGATTTTTTAAATAGTATTTTTATATTTTATCCACACTCACGGTGAACATAAATGTATCTTTAACACAATTTAGACGGAACTAATTGGTGTCGGTTTTCGGTTTTCATGTTGGATAATATAAGCGCATTAATTCTCAGTAGGTTTATGTACGGCTAGCCTGACCCACAATATTTCTTCATTAAATGTAATTAACACTAAACTTACATTAAGTAACGACTTACCATACTGATGAGCTCTTAAATAGTGGGCAGTAAGTCTGAGGATACCAGTCTTGTCAATCTTGCGGTTGGTAGCCACCACCGGCGGGACCAAAGATGCCAGCTCAGCGATTGAGTGGTTCAGCTTGTCCCGCCGCTGCTTCTCTGCCTTGTTCCTGATCTCACGAGGATTGTCTCTGCAGACAAAACGCTTATTCAGTTGGTACCTATGCCATGATAAAAGCCTGGAAAACGTTATCACAGTCCTAGATAAATTACGCACTTTACTAATTACTGCGATGAGCTATTCATGCATTAGGTACAACAAAACATTGTTACAACTCGTATATAATATAAAGGGAATCGCATATAAAGGGAATTTATGATGATTTTATATTACAACTAGACCCGTCAATCTAAGTTTACTTAGAAAAACAACGCGTCGGTGAAATTTAAAAACCTCGCAAGTCTGTTTTTGGAATATATCCCTTTTTTACTCTATTAAAATATAATTTGTAAACCTTCTTTTAGTTACAAAAGGAAGTTGTAGTCACAGATTGTCATATAATTATTTATAGTAATTCTGTTTTGTGACCTACTCAACAGTTCACATTAACCGAGGCTACGAAGTTTACGAATTTTGCCGACGAATGTCGTTTTCTTGTGGTGACAATTAATGGCGAATGTAATAAAACTTTTGCGCTTTGAACTCAATTTGTTTTATTTTGTCTACCGTTTCATACATTGTTGATCATGTTGCTCGTGCAAATAGTAGAAGTGGTAATTCAATAAGTCTGTTCGTCAGAACTATAAAAATATGAGTAAAATAGGTTTATTTTTAACGAAATTACAAATTTAAATAGAAATAGAAACCATACGAAACTTAGAAACATTTGGTTGCCTTCATGCGGAACTTAATAAAAGTTTTCACTGTTTACTTCGGTCAGTAAATGTAAAAACAATAAGTAAAAACAATAATTTGTAAAATTGTTCAAACACGCGAAGGGTTTAAAGAAACGTCAATGAAGCGTAATAAAATCTTACAATTTATTAGAAACCAAATTTAGAAAGAAGGATGGCGAAAGCTTAGATAGAAAGACAATTATAAAATGAATTGATGATGAAGAGCCGTTCATGGACTTTGCTAGTATAATTTTACGTTTTAGTTTATGCCTAGATATCAATATAATTTTATATTTTTAGAAGTCGGGAATTAAGAAATTGTACAACAATGTATTTTAGATTAATATTGCAAGAACACAACGCAATTGATTCAGTTCGACTATAGATTAGTTAACGTTCTTGTACGTACGTAGTAGTTCTTGTATGTTCCTACTTAGGTAGGTAAACATTCAATCATGCTTAAAATGAAACGTACGTAAGTATTGGTTATTTTATAGTACACACATAAAACACTAAACTTAGAATAATAAAGCATAGAAACCTAGTCAGCACACGAGGCAAATTGAAGCGCGAACAGATCAAGAATTTTAGCTAAAAATGACGAATTGTGCGATAAATGAGTGTAAAAATACGTCAGACAAACATTAAAATAGATACTAACATCACATTCCACAAGGAAGTAACGCGTTTCAACTTGTATTTTTATATAAATATTCACTAAAACCGAAAATTAACCTACTACTAAAACTAGTCTACATGAATTTGATTTTTGCCTCACTTGTGACAGTTCGTTTGATATGAAACTATCATTCTTTGCGTTATTATTCTAAGACCCTAAAGCTATGAAATACGTAATTAAATAATCCATTAAACAGTAATGACATAAAATTAAAAATAAAAGACAATGTGACAAAAATGTTTAGAAAATATTTATGAGAGATAAGAAAGTTAGCAAAGGAACATTTTGACAAGAGGCCTCTTGCAAATGTCAATATCACATTGAGATTGAGAACAGCGTGACCATTTATCGCCTGTCATTTGGGTAGATTTAATTTTTATTAATTTTCATTGCGGCAGACGTTTTTAAATGTTTATTTAAATAAATTATATGTGACAGAGTTTGGCAGATTTAGGAATATTCAATAAGTTCTTTATTATTTTTGGGAACAAACAATAATATAGGATAGAATAATAAAGAAATATACGGGCAATGTTACAAACATAACCTGTATCAACTTTATAATCCCAGCTTCTTCAGGTTGTACATAATTAGCTTTTTTGATGCTATGATAATGAATCACAAGTATTGATAGATCTCTTTAAAGCACGTCGTCAAAGTCACTGGGTCATAAAATCGTACACGGAATGTCGCCATCCTTCTTTAGAATTTAGAATTTCTGAACCAGTGATAAGTGGTTTGTGAAATATAGTGCGTAAAGAGGATACTCCAAGAAGTGTGTCACTTATACACAAAGCTTGATCTTATTTTAGTGTTGACTGATGAAATAAACAACACAAGCAATATCTAATGCCACTGAATGCGACTGTTGTCACTTTCCCGTTGAATTATATAGTTTCAAAATTAAGCGTTTTTAAAAATAATTTCTTGTGCCCCAGAGCTATGATGCTCTGGTACTCATAAGAGTACTACATTGGACACCTAGACCAGAGCAAATCAGAAGAGTTTATTTCCCAAATTGGTCCAACTGGCAATCGAACCAGGGACTTACTTGTCCTGAACACACTTTGTAAGCCATTAGGCCACCGAAGTCGTCATATAATTCGACATTTTCTACTGTTACTGGAAGAAATTCCTTTATGCGGTAAACTCGCCTGTGTACATGAATCTTTGAAATTTATGTTATATTACGTATCATTTGTTTTTGTGGTACAGTAAAGTGTTCAGATACATACATTCAGCTTTTCATGGCCGTTAAAAAGGATTGATTTTTTCATATTAAAAGTTATTATTATTATTTTTTATTCACACATTTATTACATATTGGTTGATGAACATCAATTAAAGGTTTACCATGAGGACTGGCAATACGGTGGGTTTTAAACAGGGTTCTTCAGAATTCTTTTTTTATGCTGTTAAGCTGAGTATAATATTATTGGTTTTGTGTTTTTAATGAGTAAAGTTATGACTTTAAATGACAAACAGTGAGGAAACAAAAGAAATACGAAGAAAAATCTTTGTGAAAACGATTTCCTTTGTGACTTTTTGAGACTGATACGTTTGGATAGGTCTCTGATACACATTTTGCTAGTGGTTGCATTTTGTACCCAATTAATTTTATAAGCTTTAATTATCGTGATGATTATCGTTTCTTGTCCTAGTAATTTTAAGTAATCAAACTGTAAATTACATTGATCAGAATATATAATGAAAAGTCAAAAATATTATTACTCACATAAAAATATTTACAGAACGCATTTGGTCGAAGGCTAGATGATCTAATGACGAAATAACAATGTGGAATACGTGTTGAAGCTGTAAACATCTCAAATGTGCAATACCGAAAGTTCATAAATATTAAGCTGTTTATTTAAGGTGTTTATTAGCTAATAATATCTGTTGCCAAATAGCAGTAGGATTTTTAAATACAATATTCAGTTTCCGAAAAGAAACTAATCCATCATAGTATTGATTATGTTGTTATATATGAGTAAGTACTCGATATTTTCGATATCGCGTACTTTTAGAATCGAATAAGGGATTCGATTCTAAAAGTACTTTTGATACATACTCGGTTTAGTAAAATCTCACAATATCACGTAAGTATACTCTTCCATTTCTCATAAGGCAGGGCTGGGCAAAATACATGCTACGTCTTAATTGAAATATTTACAAATTACAAAATACTTCCTTATATGTATTATGTATATATTTTATGGGGTGTATTTAGAATACAAATACATATTACTTTATTAATATATCTGTCGCGACTTGTGGAAACGAACAATTTCCTTCAAAGTTTTTTCCTTCCACAATACATAACTTGAAAAAGAAGTTTTAAATTATTATTTTTACAGAAATTACAATTAACAAAACCCAATGCCCAAATGATTACAGGTGTAACAAAATAAAAAATATATACGAAATTAAGTGTACAAAGCGTAGGTGTGTGTGGTGCTTGTGTGTTGAGTGAGCGCTATTGGCTGTCTCAATCAGATCTAATTTAGATAGCGAATAGCGCGTGCTTGTTTCAATTTTTCCGCGCGAGTCGCGACTATTATGCGTAGTAGGTAGGTCGTTTTTAATTATTTAAAAAAAGAATTCCCTTTCATGAAACCTAGGCTTTTGAAAGTACTATCAGGTAAACATCCTCTCATCGGAGAATGTATAAACCCTGCTAAAGAGAATACTTGGTTTCAAACTACCTTTGGTGGTAGTTTTACATTGAAATCATGTCGTTTGGACGTCGTCTTGATCGTCGTTGTTATTAGCGGTACCGTAACCATACACTGTGAAATACTTTTCAGTCAAAATTAGTGGATACACCACAGACGTAGATGGTAGTTTGCTCCATCGTTCTGTATGTTGATTAAGTCTGATTCGATTACCACAAATAGCATTGAATTGAACAGCAGTTTTACCAGAAAAAAAAAACTGTTAAACCATTCAATACAACCATACTACAAAGCATACAATTATTATTAATATTCCCATGCAAGACGAATACTTTATATACGTGTAAATGCCGTTCATAACACGTTCACAACACAAATTAGAAAGATGGTTCACAAAAATCACGTTCTTCTTCTTCTTCTTTTAAGTGGCAAAAATCACAAATTCACAATGCCGATAAACAGTGTTGCCAGACTTATGTGACTACATTCCCCACAAAATCCCCAATCAAATTTGAAATTATCCAGACATTTTATTAAGTAGCCTAAAATCGCCTCTTCCTATTTCAAACATAGCCTAAATATCGCCGAGTCGCCGATAACTTTTTTAGTCGCCGTACGACCCCTCGACGTAGCCTAAATGGCGAAAAATTGCCTTATCCGGCATGCCGATAAAACCGCGAAAAGATGACTTTGACGTTTTTGACATTACCATGCAGTGTTGCCACCTGCAAATGTGCTTCTACTGCATTGGATGCGAGTATTTCATACCCATAGAGGTTAATTTTGGGAACGTTCCGTTTTACACACACACACACACACACACACACACACACACACACACACACACA